AATTTCTGACAATGAGCCCTTGATTATGAACATTTACCTAGCAATAGCATTATTTAAAGGAGTTTTTTTAAACTAAAATTGTGTATGATTACTTCATGATCTAGTTGTTATCTATAAGAGAAAACATATGTGTTATATTTAATACTTATTCTTAGTTTCTATTGAGAATATCTTGAATGTAATTCATTTTCTATGATTCTATTTTGAATAAACAAGTTTATTTCTTTTTGTAAAATTCATATGGATTTTTAAGTAAGAGTGCATTCTTGAAACCACTATATTTGAATGAGAAAGGTATGAAAGTTCTTTTTTAGAAATCCATATACCTGGTAACATAGGAGATAATATACCAGAAGGAAGTCAGATAATGCACTGCTCATCAATGCAGCTCCCTGGGCAAAAGAATAGTGGCAGAAACTCCATCTAAAATTAATCCAAGTTACTCAAGTAAAAGGAGACAGCCAGTCTCATCCTCAGGACAAGCTCATGACCTTCATAAGCTTTGACTACAGAACAGGAGACTCAACTTTGATGAAATGATGATTCATCTGGTGGGCAAGTCAATTATAGAGAGGAATCTTATTTTCCTTCTCTAAGATTTGAAGAGCAATGACATGGCATTAGCCTGAGAGAGAATATAATGTTTAAAACAAAACTATCTTGAGACCTTAGAACAGGGAGCAAGCACAAGTCAGGGAACTTGGTTCAACTACAACATCAGAGATATCATCTTTGAACTCAGTCACAGAGCACAGGGGGATTAGATGTTGATGAGATACTGAAAATACAGTCTGCAGGAAACCACATCAGGCAGTGAGCTGGATAATCCCCACCTGAGTGGCTGAAGCTAATTTCATTAACTAAGGGAACAGCGCTAGAGCTTGGTAACCTTGTGTTTGAGATCAACAGGTAGACCAACATTCGGAGCCCTCTCTTTGCTGTTGCTTTAAATCCTGTGAACTCTAAATTACACCTCTCCAGTAAGGTAATTAATAAGAAACATCTCTAATTAAACTTCAGTTTTTTGGGAGAATTTCATACATGAGTATGGTATTTACATAGTTTCCACCATTCTCTTGCAACTCCCCAATTTATGCTTTAATACACAACCTCTTCTATAATTATTTTTACCTGTGAACACAACCTCCTGAGTCCAATTAGTGTTTCTTGAATACATACGTGTTTATGAATGACCACTTAGTATCAGATAACAAATTAGTGACCTTATCCCTGAAGAAAACTGATTATCCTCTCAGAAAATATTAATTTCCTATGGCTACTCATCTATGAGTAAAGACTTGTTAAAATTCTCTTCTTTTCATCATGACAGCTCAAGTGAGTTTTTTATTATGGGGGCAGGGGTATATTTTTTATGTCAGCATATTGTTCAGATATCTTGGGTGCAAATTCCCTGTCATGTCTAGTAGACACTATCTAGCTGCAGGTGTTCTGATCCACTGGATATTACATTTTGTATTTTTCGTGATATCCCTTGAGTCTGTGTAGGAGTTACATTGCAGATGTACCAATAAGGAAGAACATCTCATAGTCCACTTATTCTATTTATTTTGACCAGTTATGAATATCTGTGACTCCTGACCAAACCTGCATCACTTTTCTTTCATTAAGGCTTTAAAAGAATGAAATACCTGTGCCTGCACTATGCCTAGTTAATAATATAATAATGACCATTCTTAAAAATAATATTATGGATGCTTGAAATTTTTGACAAAACAAACAAACAGACCAACAAAAAACAGCAAAACCAAATAAACAAACAAAAAACATGATGTACTCAATCAAGTTCTTTAAGGGCAGAGTCTGTTTGGAGGTCACTGATGTTAGCATTGGAGAACTTTTGTTAATCCTGGAAAAGTCCAGGGAAACATGTAGTACTCTCAGACAATCAGTACCAAACTGTATATCTTCAATTCTGTCTACAGGCTATAAGGTATCATGGCAGTAACAATTGTCTTCTTATGAGGAAAAAAAACCTAAGTTAATACTGTCAACATTTTTATAAAAATTTATGTAAGCATATAAAGTAATGGTTTCATTATAGACTCTATATAGATAAGTATTGTAGATATTTTTGTCTTCTGACCTTTCATAGCATTCTTATAGCAACTTCCTCTGTTTTTTCTTGTTAACTGCAGCATCTGTCATTTGCATGAGCTCCATTTATTCTATTCATTATCCCCCTTAACATCTCTTCCTTTCTATCATGATCCTCTTTCCAGCTTCATCACCTACACATCTACACATTTGTAAATGCTCACAAATTTATGGTTTTAATATGCTCTGTGAAGGAGAAAAAGTGATATCATTGTCTTATGAGTCTGACTTATTTCACTTAATTATTTCCAATGGCATCAATTTTCCTGTAAATGGCATGATTTTGGTTTTCTTTATAATTGCTTATATTTCCATTGTTTGTATCCAAAACAAAGGATTAGGGCACACAGTTAAGTCTGAAAGCCCTCTTCCAAAGATTGTAAAATTACTATGGAATTAAAGGCTATTGGCCAAGGGCAAGGCTGAGCACATTTGTCCAAGGCTAAAGTGAAAAAAAAATATTAAAGCATGTTTCAAAACAGCCATTGCTATGCAAGTAGACCAGAAAGCCCCTGAATTATAGTTCATTGTCTAACATTGTTGTTGCCCTTCCAAGATTTTCCTCTGCTTGGGACTACTTCTGATAGAGAAAGTCTTTTTCTTCAAAAACAAACAAACAAACAAATAAATAAATAAATAAAGGGCTTCACCCCAACCATGTATCTCCCCATTTCCTGTCTAGGGATTCAAGACCCTGGAATTCCACAAAGGTCCCTCCAAACCACTGTCTCTGCTGATATTGTATGTACTACACTATTGTATAATATCAAGCAGCTCATGAACCTATGAGTCATCAGAATGCAATGTCTTTGCATTCTGAACATTGTCCTTAAATGAACTAGATGCAGGTTTGGGGCTGCCACTCACTTGGTGACCAAGAATAGCCTCATTTAACATTGCTGAACCTGCCATTCCCCTTTGCTGGTGAGCATAATGGTTTAATCCACAGATGACATTCACAACGTTTGAAACAGCATCATATGGAGTGGTTGGCAGGATGCCAACATCAATCACTGTTTTTACAGCATCATTTTATTGTAAGAGAATAAGCATTAAACATATTTTTATCAGAGCAGCAGTCACCAAAGTTTATCTTTAAGGTGTGGCTTTCCTTTCCTATATTACTTATGAGTATATGGTTGTAGGATTATGGCTTGGAATGAAAGAAGAAAGAGGGAAGTGTTAGCAAGGGCTGGACCATATTGTAAAGCTCCTTTATAATGGATGAACTGTGACAATTTTCCTAGATAAATAGCAGAAGTAAGTTGTTTCTCTCACTTATTGCCTGCCCTACACCATAGAAAGAGAGAATGACCATACAGGAAGTTTATCCAGGAAGTTTGTCAATCACTTAACATTCTTTCATTGACTACTCAGTGGTTATACCTAGAAATGCCAAAATTTTGGTCAAAATGTAAGCATTTTAACCTATTCTAACCTCATTTTTCTCTTCTGTCCTATAACTACTACCACTTGCATCTTGACTATGGGCTTTGATTTAGAAGACAACCCCCTCTGAAGGATTTTGTCCAAGTAAAGGTCTACACTGCCAGCAGGTCCCTCTTTCTCTTTTCATTATCAGTCTTGTTATTTTGTTCACCTTGCAAAAATGAAAAAAAAAAAAAAAAAAGAAAAAGAGGTTAGGAAGTTAGGGTGCATGCAACAATGTAACACACTAAAGACCAGGTGGTAATTTCTGTGAGGCTTCCTAGAAATTAGCCCCTATGTTTGCACATGCGTGTACTCTGTGACTTGAATTCTTTAATTTTTGTTTGTTAATAGATTTGTTTCACCAATGTTAATTGGATTGAATGTAATGTACACAAAAAGTCTCTATTATGATCATACAATAATGAATGGATGTTGAAAGGAAGAGGTGAACAGATGGAGAGATATGCTGAATTACAGAGTATAAAAGGAGGCAAGAAACCACCTCTGGGCTGTAAGGACACAGACTCGAATTGACATGGCCTGTGTCTTTATTACATTTATCAAGACACAACTGCCTTAAATAACCTAGTGTCTAGGTATTTTAAATCAAAGAGAAAAAAAAAAGCCCATTGAAATCATGTGAAAAGCTGTCTTTCTGTAGTGCTGTATCTCTAATTGACAGTACAAACAGCTTTAATGATGGAATGATTTTACTTTGTACTCAAATGCCTTTGTTGAACCATCTTTACTCTATTCACTACTACTGGCTCTGTATTGAGAAGTCCTGGAAAGATTATGGGACTACAAAGTCTGGTTGGCAGAACAGATTGGAATGTTGCAAGTTCAGAATCAAACTATCTTGAGCAGTCTTTAGCCCACTAATAGCCATTTATTATTTCATATTATATAACCTAACACCTTTTTAATATTAGGAAAACAGTTTGTAATATACAGACTCCCACTTATGACCAATGAAAAGTACAATAGAGTCAGATAACATCTGCTTTATATAGCTTAGATTCCCCTGCTCTTCTGTAAGTCACCTATCTGATGTTTCCACTGATGTATTTGCAAATTGTATTGTCCCATGGTTGTCTTTGTTCTATTACTTTAAAGTTTCATAGAACTTGTCCCATGTTAGAAAACATTGTCTGTGATAACTTACTTTGTCCTTCAGAGAATCTACCTCTTTTGTTAATTTGAGAAAAGAGCTGTTTCTTTTGTGGAAGACTGACTGTTGTCCCTACTGTATTTTATGGTGGGTAGAATACACAAATTGCTTTCGTATCACTAAACTGATGTAATATGATGTGATGTTCTGAGATGCCAAGGTTTAGTATCAGTGTGTGTATATGCAAAGCATAGTATTACACAACTAACAAAATTATAAATGCAAAATCTTTGAGATTATAAACAAGGAGGAAAAACAAATTTAGTAAAAACAAGGATATTACCTTCTAGTGTGTTTCTAAAGCTGAAATTGGCAGTTCTATCCATGGAGCCAGCTTCATACTGGGTTAAACTCAGACAAAATTCCACATCTGCTGAAGATGGGAGCCTCGGGGTTTGGGTTTTGTCATGGTTTCCAGGATTCCGTATCAGTGGTCCCTCAGGTGTCCCATCACATAAAGCCTGACGGCTATTATACTCTTCTGATCTGCTGCAGATGATCTGTGAAAAACACTTTATGTTAAATGTCTTCCCTCTGAGTCAAATGGAGAAGGAAGAAATATTAAATACCCATCACTACCTTCATTCCGCTTTCTGACAATTAGATGAAAATGTTAAATGGAAATAGTTGTTGAGTTGCATTCGAATCATGTTGCTTATGGCAGCCTGAGAATCCTGATTCAAAATTCAAAAGCCAGAATGTTGAAACTCTATGTGACATAAGCAAGGTTAAAATTAAGTATCCTACAATTGCATAAATTATCTTTAAACTGTGTGTATAAAGTATATATGAAACATAAATGAATTTCCTCATCTTTGAAATGTATCTATACATACAACATTGTTTATTTACCTGTATCTACTTCATTTATTTTTTTTCATCAATGACTTGTGAATGGTTTCATAAAACTAGTCCACCTTCTGCTCTGACTGTAATAGGTTAGACATCTTCACAAAGGCAATTGACTAGACAACATGACTGTGACACAGAGGAAGTATTTTTTTTCCTCTTTGATGAATAATCCTCAGGATATTTCCAAAAGGTCTTTTTTGCAGAAAAGACTCCTACAGCAGACTCAGTTAAATTAGAGACGTTGGATGGAACTATTTTTGCTGAAATCCCAACTGTATGTGACTAAGCACTTGGGTCATGGAGGCATTAATAGTATAGAGGGAAGATACTCTGGTTACAGAAATAATGTAAAAACCTTAACTCCAAATTACTATGTTTGATTCAGTGGCAGAGGCAAGGATGCAGAATTTGTTAGCATTGTGGTTACATGTCCTGGAGTTGTATTCAGAAATGTAGTGTCTACTCTTGATTGTTTTAACCCATGGTCTCAGGCAGGTCTCCCAGAATCTATGTCAAGGCATTTTGTCCTTAAATGGAGAGTGTAATAACTCTTTCTTGGCTCAAGTAATCCAAAGTATTTAAAGCACAGAGATGCAATATTCTCTGGCACCTATGTAAAGGATCCAATAATTATGACTGGCATGGAGTTCAGTTTTAAGGTATTAGCCTAGCATGTATAAGGTCTTGTGTTCTACCCAAGACTGCCTCACCCTTAAAAATTCCAAAAATTATAATTATTTTAATATAAAACAATTACTAAGATATCTAAGTTATTTGTATCACTATGTATGTGAGTGTTGATTGTTCATTATACTAACTGAACCTGATGTATCATTTAAACACAGTATTTCCCACACATTGAAATTAAAACAATATGGCAAAGGCTTAAGTATTTTTTGCATGCACTGAATACTTTAAATTGTATTATAGTAATGTTATATTGAGCTATTGTTATTTTTTTACAAACAAAACTATCTCTAAACTCTCTATATAACTTCCTGAGAGTCTGGTAGGTAAGTTAGAGAAGTATATACAAATGTATCAAAGAACAATGGCTTTCACAGCACAATACATTGCTTTGTAGTCAATTCAGTTCTTTCATTAACATAGAAAACAAGCATATGTGACAATAACAATATTTCTTTTCTTGTTGAAAATATTAAAGGTCATGAATTTTAAATGCCTTGTTTAGTAGTGTTTGGCAAGTGTCAGAAGTTGGACTGAGCCCAAGACTTACCGTCACAGTTTGGTTCTTTCTCCTTCCAACCACATAGGATATGAACCATATGCTAAGAGAAGCAAATTCAAATATCCAAGAGCAAAAAGAAGCAAAGAAAGGGACACAGAAGGTACAGGTGTACAAGAATGGAAGGGGAAACATGATAGTATTCTATTAAATTGTAGGATGTAGCGAAAAACTACCTGCTTTTAAAAGCCTTCAGGAGCAAAGATTCTAATATGGTATTTGAGTTTTTCCTGAAAGAAAGGAAGGAAGGAAGGAAGGAAGGAAGGAAGGAAGGAAAGAAGGGAGGAAGGAAAGAAGGAAGTAAGGAAAATACTAACCCATATGACATTCCATGAAATCTTTCATAAAGAAAAAAGAGAAGCTGTTATTTTGTGGAGCTGTTGTCATGGTTACCTAAACCCATGACTATCTGCTGAAATGTAACTTTGTTTTTCTTCCCCCGTGGCTTCCATGTGATATGCTGTCCACCTGATGATTGAATTCCCTGGCTGTAATTCACTCACATCTGTCATCAAGTCCTGTTTCCTCTCAATTGTGATTCATTGAGACAGCTCTCTTTGACACACCTTTTCTTCTTAGGTTACCTTCTCTTATTTGTATAACATTATATGTAATGGTGGTGAGCACAGAACACAAATTTTGTAAATAAATGTCATTGAGTACCTTCCTTTTTCTAGAAATTACAGACTATTTTAATGAAAGTTGGTGTGCTACTACTTGAAAATGTCTTTCAGAATAATCAAACAAGTGAAAGAATAACAAACTAGGAAAAGACTGATTGCATATGAAACCTTAATTCTAAGAAAATTAACCTTAATTATTTGATTTTATTACTATCTCCTATCAAATAAATATTGTCAGGTAATTTTTTCATCTCAAATAATGTTTAGATATATTATGACCTATACCATATTTTTCATGTACACACACACTCAGACACTCATGATGATCAGCAAGCACTTCACAAAATGCTTTATCCTAGGCTAGGACTTAAGCAAATACTGTCTGTTGCATTTTTGTGTCTTTCACTTTGAGAATTCAGTTCTGTAAAATATGGCTGAGTTCTCAGAAATCCATCTAGGATAAGAATTAAATTTTTGTGAGTTTCATTTTTTTTTCAATTCAGCATGTATTTATGAAGGACATTCTGTCTGTATGTCATGATATATATATATATACACACAAGTATTTGTATAAATAGTTTCTACCTTTGAAAATTTGACAGTAGGCAGAGTTAGGCTTAATAAACCATTCACGTGTTCTGAAATATTACAGAAGCTGTAAGATAAATCTGCACAAAGTGTTGAACAAAGGGAAGAAAAACAATTTTATAAAATAGAAGTGTCTCTCTTCCTCAGTGTTTGATGCATATGGATCTACATGTTTACCTTTTATGTGTATGCATGTTTTCCATAATGCATATCTGTGAACCATGTTTGTCTTGTGCCCAGAAAAAATATTGGATCCCCGGTGTTGGAATTGGAGTAACAGATAGTTGTGAGCCATCCTACGGGTAGTAGGAAGCAAACCCAGGCCAACTGGAAGAGAACTTTAGACAGAAAAAGCAAGCATCTCTCAAATTATACTTTCATAAATAAGTTTGTTATTAGACCCTCTTTAAGCATGTCAACACAGTTTATTTAAATAGAAATGGGACATAGCCACTTGGGTTCTGCCCTCAGATTTTTTGTTTTTTGTTTGTTTGTTTGTTTGTTTTGTTTTCCCCCCATAAATTCTCCTACTGTTTCAGGCCTATCATTTATAAAATGTGAGCATCGCATGAGATACCACAAAAGTTCTCTCAGGTTGGAATGGATAAATAGTATCCAAACTCTAACATCTATGTTTGAAAGTAAAAAGACACCCTAAGTCAATCAATGAGTGGAAGCCCATATAAAATGGGCTATCAGCCTAGCTAATTTGGAAGGTATTAACCAGCTCATTTTAACTTGGAAGCTATTTGATCTCATCTAACAAAACAGCCTAGTTTTTAATTTGAATTGTTAATTTAGACAAAGGCATTCAAATTAATGGTGTGCTCATTACAGAAACTGTGTTTTTATAAAGGAAAGGAAAGTGATAACTAAACAATCTCCATGTTAATGAAATCTGGGACTCTTAGTACTGGCTGAAACTTAGAGCTACATAAAGAGCATTAAAAGTACAAGCACCCCTGGGAGGCTGAGGCAGGAGGATTGCTGTGCTTTAGAGGCCAGCCTAGGCTGTAGAGTTAGTTACAGGTCAGACTTAGGCTACAGTGTAGAACCTCCTCCCAAATAAACAAAAAATGCACAATGGAGCTTTACAATAGACCAGTTGATTCTGTGTTTTCAAAAAGTAATTAGATCACTGATGTTCATGCAACTGCAAAGCAAGGACAAAAAATTGTAGATGGCTGTAATTCTGAGTGATTCAATTAATACAATGTAAACGTTAATTAATTCACAATTTTATGTCTATAGGTGTCCTGTCTACATATATGTCTGTGCAGCATATATGGGCCTAGTAACCGGAGAAGCCCAAAAAAGGATGCTAGAGTCCTAGGAACAGAGTTACAGATGGCTGCAACTGCCATTCGGGTGCTGGGAATTGAAGCCAGGTGTTAGAAAGAATAACCAGTGTTCCTAATGTCTAAGCCATCTTTCCAGACCGAAACAGTCCTAATTTGCTTTGATTTCACTTCTGTAAATCACTATTCAATTTTCTTCTAAAGTGATATTTCTTGTTCTTTGGTGCATATTCATTGACCAGGGCTTTCCTAAGGATATTTCCATGGAGGCATATAATGTGTTTGATCATATACCCTCCTCTCAAGCCTTCCAACACTTTCCTAATGGGAAGGGGCAATGGAAGAAAAATAATCATTTTCGAAATACCTTAACAAGAGAGATTGTATGAATAAAGAAACCAGACAACATGAATCAGTTTATGTGTTCTGTCTGCAACTTTGTATCCCTGAACAGTGTTCAGCTTAGGTAGAACAAATATTTATTCCAAACTTTAACCTCATTTTTTAAAATGATGTTTGCTAGCAAAGATTTTTTTCTTTTGTTTTGCTAATTCTTTTATTAAATAATTTTGCTTGTTTTTTCCAGTGATTTGTTTTCTTTCACTTTGCTAATTCTGTGTAAAAAGGCATTTTTCTACTCAGCAGTACAAGTTTGTAGGCAATATTGTAGAAGTTATAGCTCATGGCTAATTAAGTCAGATAAGTATATTGTGTTTTTACATTTCTATTTTATTTGTTTTGTTTTTTAAGAAAATTATAGAATTGACTATAATCATAAGGTTAATTCAATTCTCAAAACATGATTAGAAATATTAAATCTTGGTATCATCTGGAAGTAGACTCTTTGAGTAATTAAATATTAATTTACATCTTCTTACTAAACTCAATGTATATATTAAAACTTTTGATAATTTAGATGATCCTTCAGCCTTTCGATATCACGTGAAGCTATGTAGCAAATCAAATATTGTATATCTAAGATAATCCCATATCCAAGACTGATATAATTTAAAGCAATAGCCAGAAGAGTAGAGAGCTAGATGAAGGATTTGAAGTTCATCAATTAAGATAGGATAACTGAAAAAATACAGCAATAAAGTTTTTTCAGCAATGTCCCTCTATGTAAAGTAGCAGTAGGTTTAGTAAACAATTGACACCAGGAATTAACATCTGTATTTTACAATTATACTTTTGAGAGGCTTCATCAATGATAAAGTGAATTTGTATTTCAAATTTGTCAAGTATTGGACAGGCTGTGCCCATGTTTGAATTGATAGAATAGTTGCATTAGGAACTTTTGGAACATAAGGCAGAAAAGCATCTCTTACACTTGAGTTTATTTAAAGGAAAACTATTTTAACATTTCTTTATCTTTTGCCTCTAATCCAGAATGAAGAACATAATAGGAGAAGTGGAAATCCAATCAAAATAATAACTTCTTAATTCTATTTCTAATATTTGTAAAGTAGAAAAAAGGCTAACTTCATTCTAAAATGAGAAAAATTAGCTGAATTGGGTCTCCTCAAAAGGCTAGTCTTGTCCCTGAAAATACAGGGGTGAGTCATGCAATTATTATACCCATGAACAAATACCATCAATGCTATTTACCAATAGTTTTTTTCTTACAATTTTAACAAATAATATATATCCCATATGGCTTTAAAATGGGGATAGGTTAAACTAAATGCTCAGTAAATCAGTAATGTATATAAATCCTTTCAATACAGATTCACTTAATTCAAATACTCTTTCAATAGACTTTAGTTTCTTTTCAAATGAAATCAACTGAAGATTTTGTATTCAATCAGTATTTATCAAGAATTCACATAATAAAGGTCATCATTGCTACTTTGTGAATTATTCTAGCACTCCACCTTGAAGATTTTGCCTAATTGGTCTGTGTTAGTGCCAGGAATTTTATTTTTAAGTATTATATCTTTTGAATTTTATTGGTAATGTTAATTGTATTATTCAAAAACATGGACTAAGATAATCTGGTTACTCATCTACTCCTAAATAACTTTGAGCTACTGCTTATGCCAGATACCATCCTAGGTGCTAGCAATACAGTGGTGAGCCAAGCAGTTTTTATTCATAGCAAATTATGAATCTAATGAAGCTATTGTTTATTAGATTAATAAGCACTGATTGTTATTTTGAGATGCTCTATAAAAAAAGTCAATAGCATAAGCAGCTTTTAGTTAGGCACCTTTTCCACACTTAGATTTGTTCATAGTGACCTCATGAAGAAGTACCATTCCTCTCTAACTCTGTATGTGAAGTGAATCTTACCTGCCAGGAGGAGAAGAAGGATGCTGGACTAAGTAGATTAGGGTTTTCAGGGTGGCGACCTCCCAAGTACTCATCTGTGCAAATGTCACAGTTTTCAGCATCCCGCCAATCCCAGTATGGAATGGTGAAGTTCTCATCCCCTGTTAGCTCCTGTATTTCTTGTTCCCACAGTAGCAAGAAAAGTCTGTGCCAAGGCAAAAACCCTGGTGCTTCGTGGGCAAAATCAACGTCCCTCCAGATTTCAGAACCTCCAAGCAGGGTGTCTCTTGACACATAGTAATGCATCCATACAAAGAGATCATAGATGGTTATATCATTAAACAGAGGTGTTGAACCATTGTTCATTTGGTCATATGTGCCTGTGGGGATGACATAGACTGGACTGACAGTATGCTTTGCTAAATTTAGGTAAGCAAAAAACTTATTCTTTTCTGGGACACTCAAATCATAGATGTTTCTTCTTATTAAGAGTCGCTTCTCAGTGCAATTTGATCCCCCAAATCCAAACTTACAGTTTCCGCAGTTGAATCCCATGAAGTTGCCAGAGCACTGACAGGTTCTATTATAAAACACAGAGGGCCAGGACTCACGGTCATCCACCCCTTTGAAGGGAAATTGAGGTCCAGATGGTGCATTGGACAGAAGGATGTCCTGACAAGAACCTCTACCTGAAAGCTGGCCGCAGGGACTCCCATCTCCTGTCCAGGGTGGACAGCATTCTTTTGCCATCAAGTTCTTCGAGGAGGCACAAGCTCGAGGAAAGTGGGCAGAAGAGATCTGGAAACTCCACAGAAGGCAATACAAAACAGCCAGGAACATTTTCCCCCTTTGGATGGTACAAGATCTGCTTAAATGGGTTAACAAGAATCACAGACTTCTTTTTTCAGCAACCCCTACAGTGACTATCACATGTCTTGGCTAAGACCTATATAACCACTCCCCTTCCTACATCAGATGTTTCAGTCTTTACACATAGCTTTTATCTTCTGGAAAGCACATGACTAACTTTTCCTTGGAGTTTGCACAGAGCCCACAATGAGGTAGATGAAAGTCAAAAGGAGGTATTTTATTCTAATTGATACGAAACTAGCAATGATTAGAATTTGAAAACGAGAAATAATATCAAGACCAGATTGTTTATTGTGAATAAAAATCAAGAAACATCTGGATTCTGAACACAAAGCTATTGCCTTCAGGGAATATAAGTGGATAACAACATTCATAGCACCCACTTTGCAAAGGGATTTTCTTCAGAATTCATAGAAAAAATGCTTATATCTGACTACTGTTGAGTTTATTATTTTATAAAAAATTATCACACTAAAAGAGCTGCCTCTCAATTATCTTGATGCATTTTCTGACGATTACAAAGGTAGCTTACTTTGTTATTGTGATTGATTGCTTCAATATCGTTAAGTTTTCCAATTCAAAAAAACCACATAGACTCTCTCTCCCTCTCCCTTTCCATTTTATTCTTTCATACATAAACTCTGGAAGTCAGTAATGGACTTATTGGTGTTTTGAACTGCAGAAGAATGAGAATGGTCAAGTAACACTGGTGCCTGTGAGGATCCCTTCCCCATGCTGTTTCACACTAAAAGCTGGACTGTTCTCTGGATTTAGAGAGCAAGGGGAAGGAAGTGAAGGTTTGAAGAAACCACTCTGTCTGAACCCTGGAGTAGAGGAGATCTAGAGAAAACCAAGAGGTTGCTGATGATGTGGGAATGTCAGTCGAGTCCGCTCTGCTCCTTCCCTCCTTCCCTAGGGTTTGTCTCGGTTTTTAAGAAGTTTTACTCCTCCTAGTATTCTCTTGAGATTCAAGGCAGCCTTTGCAGGTTGAAGGAGCAGTGTGTGGGTGCAGGGAAAGGGACGTTTCCATGGAGACTCTGTCTCTTGCTGGGGCCTGGAAGCTCTCACATGATCCCATTCAGGAGGCTTAGTCTTTTTTCCTTTTCTTCTCTTAGAGACTCAGAGAGATTAAGACAGGACTCCTTTACCCTGGGAAGGTTTTGTTTTGCTTTACTTGTAACCACATGTGGCTTTCTCTAATTCTCTCCCATCTAGTTGCTGGTGAAATTCAGCATCTTGTGTTTAATTTAATTAACAACTTTTTCTTTCACTGTCAGGCATCTCAGGAAAATTGCTTAGAAAGTTCCCACCATGCTCTCTATGGACTTTACATTTGCTTTCCCAAGTCTATTTCAGAATTTGTATAGACTGCTTAGAAGACTGAGTTAGTTTGCTGTCTTTATTTTCTTCAGAAGGTTTGAGTCCCTTAAATTAACAGTTCTCTTTGTTTCTCTTTAAAGTAGTCAGTCCATTGTCTTCTCCAGCTTACTTTATGATATTTCCATGCCATCGCTAGTATTTCTATGTATCAGAATCCATTTACATATTTTTCCTTGTCTCTACATGTACATTCTGTAGGTATCTTCAAGTTACAGAATTCGATAATGCCCCGTTCACCCTGGTTGACTACTGTATATCCCGAGAAAGACTTAATACAATACTACATTAGCTAAATCTGGGAATTTACTAGATACACTGCATGTATTTATTGTTACTCTCTTGGACATTTAGTAAGGACAAGATTTAAATGTTATAGCAAGTATAATAGAACAGTTTTCACAACAGTCAAGAATGTCTCTCAATTTAATTTTAATATTTATAGCTATGTATGTTATGATAAAGCTCAAGGGGGACCTTGTATGGGGGACCTTGGCAGTTCCATAGCAGGTGAGGGTAACCAAGGTAGGAGCCAAACATGCTAGGCTTAAGTGACAAATTTTATTAGAAAGGGGAGGGGGGAGGAAGGGAAGAGAAAAGAGGAAAAGAGACACAGAGGCAGAGAGAGGACAGAAGAGAAGAGGGAGACAGGAAAAGTCCTGTCTGCCCCAGGGGAACAGCAGGAAAGAGAGAACAGGGAGAGGAGGAAGAGAGAGTGTGAAGAGAAGAACAAAGAGCATAAGTGGGCAGAGGTATTTTATTTAAAGGGGTCCTTTGCACTTGCATGAAGACTAGTACTCATGGAACCCTTGACTGAACAGAGTACTGCCTGAGTGCATTCTGCTAGGAAACAAGGGCAGGTCATCATAATGCCTGAATCCTTACAATGTATATTTGAATATTTGAATTTAATAACAATTTGAAGTTTTTATAAAAGAAGTTCTATAAGGAAAAATGTAAGTAAGTCTACTCATTTTGAGAGAGTCGAAGAAGAATGTTCTCTGGGAGAAAACATATTTCAAGATACAACTAATGGAGACATAAAATTAAGAGTGGAATAACATGGGTGTAAATGTTTATAGAAGGAGTTACTGAGTTAAAATTTCAAGTGGAAGTGGCATAACACTCTCAAGAATTCTAAGGAATGTTTGTAAGGTGCTTGCAGCCACAAGTCAATAGAGATGAAATGTAAGGCATATACATGGGCAAGCCAAAGGTTTGAAGCAGTTTCAATGTAATCCCAGTGGAATTTAAAGCATCTTCATATACAAACTGTTGAGATGCAATATGAGAAAGGATTAGATTGAGAATTGAAAAAGAAAAACTATTACATGAGGGTTGAAATATATAAAGGAACATATGATGTTGCATGTGGAAAACCCTCAGAATGAGGAGTCTCACAGTTTTGGTCAGTATCCCCAAGAACTCAATGTCCAGTCCAGTTGCTGCAACACGCAAGAGGCTTTAATAAACAGGAAACGTTTGCACAAATGGGCACCTCCAGCACACAGGCTAGAGAGAAGCACCATCCCCCAGGCAAAGGTGTTTTTAAAGGCAAAAGCCACAAGCTTAGGGAGGGGATGGGACCCTCTGTCCATTGAGTATGTGACCATTTGAGATTGAATGGTCTCCTATTAAGGTCAACAGACCTTAGGGCCTCAGGGCTAATTAATCTTGTCTGGGCAAACCTGAACAGTTATCTCTTTGTTTCTTAAGGACCCTATTCACCACCTGCTGACTCACAAGAAAGGAGGGGCAATGTGAATTCTTGGTATCTTGTTATCTCAGGGCCTTGTGAGGGGAAGTTAGCAAATTCCAAAAACAGATATTGGTCTGGGTTAGCTTTCCAGGTTAGTCTGTCCTTCATTTCAAGTGGGGGGGTTTCTTTAACTTTACTTTTCTGTCTTTCATTCCTTCCATTTTCTCTTGTCAATAGTTCTAATCTTAGAACTATAGAAATTAGTGGCAGCCTCCTCTTGGCTCTGGAGGCTCCTATACTTCTAAGTACCATAATCTGGACAGCACTCAGAACAAAAGTAACAATATACATCTCTAGAAAACCTAACTAACACTATAAATTTTGACTATTATAGGTAACTGTCTATAATCTGTACTAAATTATACATTACATTCCTAAATGAGCACTGTCTATAATCTGTACTAAATTATACATTACATTCCTAAATGAGCTATATAAACATAATACCTAAATAAGAGAAATATAGATATCACAAAATTGACCTTAAATTGTAACAATAAATGAAAATACATTCCAAAACAAAGTATTCATATCTATACCATAATCCCTTTTTACCATTAAAATGATATTGGTTGTGATCATTAACCATTTATAACCAACTCCATTTAAATGAAATCAAACATTTATAGACAATCTTTGGGAATTTGGGCATCATTCTTTCCAAACTACTTCCTGCTGGTAAAGGGCGTTGTCATGGGGGATCCTAAGAAGACACAGATATCTTGGCTGTAGTCTGCAAGGCTGCTGTGTTCAGCTGTTTTTAATGTAGGATCACCTGGTACTCTGTTTCAGGGGGTCTGGCTTGCTCAAACCACATTAGTCTGGAAGGAATCCACAGCTTTTCATTTTCTGTGGAAACAAAAATAGAAATCCTTTTCCCCAGTAACTTGTCCTTGAACTTAAATTTTTGAGTCAAAGCATTTTTAAAATATATAAATTGAATTAATCCAGCAGCATTTCTTTTATCAGTTGTTATTTCCTCAAAAGTCAAACAATTTGAAGACAACAGAATAGCATATAGTATCCACAGTTTTTTTGTGCTTTTCATCTTTACGTGGCTTTTTTATTACTCTGTTTTTTTACTTTCATTTTTTTCATTTTTTTGAGACAGAGTTTCTCTGTGTAACTTCTATCTGTTCTGGAATTCACTCTGCATACCAGGTTTACTTTCCAATGACAGAGATCTACTTGCCTCTGTCTCCCGAGTGCTGGGATTAAAGGCATGTGCCACCAGACCCAGCTTCTCTCTGTCTATATAAAACCATTTTATTCCTTTTCTCTCCAAAGCCTACACATATTTTAGAATACATTGTAAACCTTTAGCACTTTTTCTTAATGTGAATCTGTCTTTACTGTAAATCTTTATCTTTTTGTGAACACGAGTTTTTATCATGTAAACAACAACATTGCTAAAATGAAAGTCATAGCTGCATCTGCTGTGGTTTATCAAAGATGGTGGTGGGTACCTTTGCAGCCAGCAGTGTCAGCTGTGCTCACTGCCTTGGTCTATGCTGCACCCAGCAGCATGTTGCCGGGTTGGAGATGTGGTCACTGCCATTGCCAGCTCTCATACACACCAATAAATTGTTAGCAGTGCTTCTTAAAAGCCATGAGGTTTTTTTTTTTTTGTTGTTTGTTTGTTTGTTTGTTTTTTAACTTCTTATGCTGAGTCAGGAATCCTCCCTTAAGGAGCCAAGCAAATATTTGCTTGTCTTTTGCAAAGCAAAGTCCAACCGAGAAAAATGCAGCTACCAAGAAATCTTGCTTGTCGCTGTTCTTTTATTTCTAAATCCCTTTTTTAAGCTTTTCTTAAATTTTAAGTGGAAGTTCTTATTAGCCACGTGGGCGCCATATGTAAGGAGTAAGGTTTTTCCTCCCGCTGCTGGTCTTGTCCTTCTGC